TTTTTGAGATGAAGTCTTAACTGTGTCGCCCAGGCTAGAGTACAGCAGCACAATCTTGGCTCACCGCAACCTCTGCCTTCCAGGTTCAAGAGATTCTCCTGCCTCAGCCTCCTGAGTAGCTGGGATTATAGGCACGCACTACCACACCTGGCTAATTTGTATTTTTAGTAGAGATGGGGTTTCACCTTGTTGGCCAGGCTGGTTCAAACTCCTGACCTCAGGTGATCCGTCCACCTTGGGCTCCCAAAGTGCTGGGTTTACAGGAGTGAGCCACTGCACTTAGCCAGGAGCTGTTTAAGCCATCAGGAGACATGCTGACCCACTAGAAGAGGCTGCTACGTTCATTTCTTCCAGAAATGTTTACTGGGCACCTACTATGAACCACCTCCTCCCAGCTCTTTTCTGCACTCAGAGATTGGAGGAGAGTTTATAACCTGGCAGTCTGTTGCTGTGAGGTTGGTGGTGAGGTGAGTCTGCCGGAGGACATGCCACCAGTTTTAGAAGAGCCTACAGCCCGGGTCTGATTTCCTCAGCCACAGCCTTGGGACTTCAGGAAAAATCAGAAGGTCCCAAGTCTGAAAAATGAAGAGGTGGGGAGTGGGCCGCAGGGGTTTTAGGTCGGGAAATGGTAGGAAACCTGTAGTTGTGGCTCATAATCCCAGCAGGATGTTAGAACCCTCTTCATTTGTCAGAATAGATTCCTGGTGTCTGCTCCCAATTATACAGTGGCTCATGCCTGGTAATCCCAGCACTTTGGGCGGCCAGAGACAGGCAGATCACTTGAGCCCAGAAGTTTAAGACCAGCCCAGGAAACAGACCCCATCTCTACAAAAAATTTAAAAACCCGAGCATGAAGCCCTGTTTCAAAACAAAGAGTCTGCTGGTGATGTCTGGGCATGTGTCTGCTTCATAGTCCAGTGTTATGATCAGTAGCTGTGATGGACAATGAGTGAACATTGCTGCTTGTTCAAAATGAAGGAAAAAAAAGTTATCAAAACCAGGTTTGGGCTGGGCGCGGTGGCTCAAGCCTGTAATCCCAGCACTTTGGGAGGCCGAGACGAGTGGATCATGAGGTCAGGAGATTGAGACCATCCTGGCCAACACGGTGAAACCCCGTCTCTACTGAGAAATACAAAAAAAAAAACTAGCCGGGCGAGGTGGCGGCGCCTGTAGTCCCAGCTACTCGGGAGGCTGAGGCAGGAGAATGGCGTGAACCTGGGAGGCGGAGCTTGCAGTGAGCCGAGATCCGGTCACTGCACTCCAACCTGGGCGACAGCGTGAGACTCCGTCTCAAAAAAAAAAAACAAAAAAACAAAAAACCAGGTCTGGAAGTTTCAGATTTGGAGGAGCTGGGCCAGCCCATCTGGAATGGCTGAGGGGCCCTGTTAGCCCCACCTTACCCCACCCCACCCCCAAATCCAGCATCCCTGGCAGTGCCCAGAGGCAAGCCCCCCTCAGTTTCCCACGTCCCATTCTGCCTTCCAGATCCTGGTCCTCAAGTTTTAAATTCCCAGGTCCACTCAACAGAACTCTCTCCCTTGTCTGACTGCAGTCTCAGAATGAAAGGAGAGGTGCTTTTGTTGGGTTGTTTGGTAGCGTTTAGGCTTAGAAGTCACTAATTTGGAGCCGTGAGTATATAAGCTAATGACACGTGTATAAGCTAATGACACGTGATGGTCAAGGGACGTACTACCATTTCCTGTGGGTTATTAGGGCCTCCAGCTGTTGCGAGGACACGCTGGGGTATCTCGGCTTCAGGGAGTCGATGCTGTAACTGGAGAAAGGCAATGCTGCCTCATAAAGCAATCAGAAACGAGATTCCACTTGCCAAATGCCAAGAGGCAGCGAAGTTCATGAAGAGAGCACTGTGTACAGAGTCAGATGACCTGGGCTTACTAGCCTCTAAGCATAGTCTTGGTTTCCTGCCTGTAAATTGGTAGAATAAGACTGATCTACTGGGCCACAGCATGGTGGCTCATACCTGTGATCCCAGCACTTTGAGAGGCCAAGGCAGGAGGACCCCTTAAGCCCAGGAGTTTGAGACCAGCCTGGGCAACATGACAAAACCCCGTCTCTCCAAAAATACAAATTTTTTTTTTTTTGTATTTACAAAATACAAAAATTAGCCAGGCATGGTGGTACACACTTATAGTCCCAGCAAGTAGGGGGGCTGAGACAGGAGGATCTCTTAAGCCTATGAGTTTGAGGCTGCAGTGAGCTGTGATTGCGGCACTACACTCCAGCCTGGACGACAGAACAAAACCTGTCTCAAAAACACCAAAAAACAAAAACTGGTCTCCTAGGGTCATGGTAGCACAAACGCACATGACTGAGTGCGCAGGAGTTCTGAGGCTTGTCCACTGACCTGGGGCTCTGGCCCTGGGAGATCTGGGGGACCTGCTGTGATGATTTGAAAGAAAGGGGCATCATTCCAAGCCAAGAGACCCCAGAAAGGGCACCAGGGGGTGTTCAGGCTTCTGTGAGGCCCCAGTGAGATCTGTGGCTGTGCCCCCATCACCTCCACCCTGTCTGCCCTCCCACGAGCTGCCCAACGAATGAATCAACGCCTTGGCAGAGTTTCCCAGCAGGGCCTTGCAGAGAGTGTGTGTGGCCTGTGTGGCCACTGCCTTGCGGGTGGGTGGGGAGTTAGGGAACATTCCAGCGTGGGCATTATTGTCCTGTTGCAAGTTCAGGGCCAAACCAGGAATCCAGTTTTGTCGATCCAATTGAGAAAACATTTCATGAACAACTACTTGTGGCATGCATTGGCACTCAGAGTAAAATGCACTATTATCACTAGGTTGGCATTTCTTCTTTTATTCTTTTTCTTCTTTTTTTTATTTTTTATTTTTGAGACCGAGTCTCACTCTGTCGCTTAGGGTGGAGTATAGTGATCTCAGTTCACTGCAACCTCTGCCTGCCGGGTTCAAGAGATTCTCCTGCCTCAGCCTCCTGAGTAGCTGGGATTGTGCCTGCCACCACGCTCGGATAATTTTTGTATTTTTAGTAGAGACGGGGTTTCACCATGTTGGCCAGGCTGGTCTCGAACTCCTGACCCCAGGTGATCCGCCCACCTCGATCTTCGAAAGTGCTGGGATTATAGGCATGAGCCACTGCATCCAGCCAGGTCAGCACTCCAGACTAGCTCAGCTGTGAAAGACTAGATGTTAATAAGAGGTTCCTGAATCAAGGATTTTGTGCTCACATTCAGTGAAACACTACAGACTCCCCTCTTGGATAGTTGGAGGCTTTGAACACAGCCCTTCTTCTATTCTCCCTCCCTCACTGGCTCACCCCTAATGAATCCAAATGCAGTCTAGTAAAATCAGGAAGCCTGCTATGAAAACTCGGCAGAGATCCTGAAGATACCCCTGCAGGTGCCCGCTCTGACCAGGTGAAGGGAGAATGGCTGTACCTTTGGTGATGGTGCTGAGGGAAAGGACCTCAACTCCCATAAGTGCTGGGTCTGAGGCCACATGTTACACCAGGACAGGTCCTGTGTCCCTCAGGAAAGCCTGGCTTTGGGGTCAGATCTCAGTAACCAGCCGGGAAATCTTAGGTAAGATTCTTTGTCTCTCTCTCTCCTTTTTTTTAAAGAAAAGCGACAGGGCCTTGCTCTGTCATCCAGGCTGGAGTGCAGTGACTCAATCACAGTTTAGTGCAGCCTCGACCTCCAGGGCTCAAGTGATCCTCCTGCCTAAGCCTCCTGAGTAGTTATGACTACAGGCATGAGCCACCATGATGCCTGGCTAATTTTTTTATTTATTTTTTATGTCTGCAGAGATGGGGGTCTTTCTACGTTGCTCAGGCAGGTTTCTAACTCCTGGGCACAAGCCACAGAAAAGGGGTGAAGAATCTTACCCAAGGCCAGGCACAGTGGCTCAAGCCTGAAATCTCAGCACTTTGGGAGGCTAAGGCAGGAGGATTCCTCGAGGCCAGCAGTTTGAGACGAGCCTGGGCAACATAGGAGACATCTGTATCTACAGAAAATTTAAAAAATAAAAATTAGCTGGGTGTAGTGGTCCCAGCTACTTGGGAGGCTGAGGTGGGAGGATCAATTGAGCTCAGGAAATCAAGACCTCAGTGGGTTGTGATCATGCCACTGCCCTCTAGCCTGGGCAATAGAGTGAGACCTTGTCTAAAGAAAAGGCCAGGCGTGACGGGTCATGTGTATAATTCCAGCACTTGGGAGGTTGACACAGGCGGATCACCTGAGGTCAGGAGTTCAAGACCAGCCTGGCCAACATGGTGAAACCCCATCTCTACTAAAAATACAAAATTAGCTGAGCATGGTGGAGCGTGCCTGTAGTCCCTGCTGTGAAACTCCGCCACAAAAAAAAAAAAAAAAAAAAAAAGATTATTCACCTTTTGGAGCTCATGTCTTTATCTGTAGACTGGGTAACTCATTGGTGCTCAACAGGGATGATGTATCAGAGAGAAAGACCTTTTCTTCCACCTAATGGACCCCCAGTCCCATAGACACACACACACACACACACACACACACACACACACACACACACCAGTCACCACCTCATCACTCAGTTTTTTGTTTTGTTTTGTTTTGTTTTTTAGAGGCAGGATCTCGCTATATTGCCCAGGCTGGAGCACACTGGTTATTCACAGGTGCAATTGCAGCTCACTGCAGCCTCAAACTCTTGACCTCAAGAGAGTCTCCTGCCTCAGCCTCCTGAGTAGCTGGGACTACAGGCTTGTGTCACTACACCCAACTCCCCATCACCTGGCTTTTAGTTTTATGAGAAGAGGCTTTTGTCTGGGTCCGAGTGTTCTGGAGAGGAGCTGGGGTAGTCCCTTAAAACAGTCCAAGCTGCCTGGGAGCCAGGGCCTGGGTTCTGGGGACTTCTCGTAGTCAACTGGCCGGCACCCTCAGTCAGAGCAGTCCCCTGGCTGGTCCTCTGGGTTGAAGGCTCCCTCCTACTCCACACTCCAAGGCAGGCGGGGGCCACGTGGCCCTGCCCCGCCCCTGCTGGCTTCGGTTCCTGAGCAGAGCTGCAGAGGCCTGCTTTCCCCGCCCTTCTCATCAGACGGGAAGCCTGGACTGTGGGCTGGGGGCAGCCTCAGCCTCTCCCACCTGGCAGCCACTGCCCGTGGCCCTTAGGCACCTGCTTGGGGCCCTGGAACCCCTTAAGGCCACCAGCAAACCCTAGGAGACCGAGGCTTGGCACGTGAACAGGTAAGAAGGCATCAGGCTTTCTCTCCCATGCCTGGCTTTCCTCTGCCTCTGACGGCCTGGCTTCCCCACCCCGATTCTGCTGCTGCTTCACCGATCCCAGAAAGAGGGACTTGAGCTAGACTTGACAAAGACAGTCCCAGCCAAGACTCTCTGAAGTATGCCTCAGAGAAGTATGCCTCGGCAGAACTGTCTGCCCTGGGTTTCAATTTTTCACCTTTGCCTTCATCAGCCTTGCTGGAAAAAACAGATCCACATAACCATAAAGCAAGTCATTTCTCTGTGTGTGCCCTTCGGAGTTTAGTCAGTTGACAAACCCACATTCTCATATGGTTGGCATGGGTCATGGGGCGCTGCTCCACTGTATATTGCCGTAGGTCTTTGGACCTTAATGTACTGTGTGTGTGAACTATCACTTGCATGTATTACTTTATCAAAAATCAGTTGATTTGGCCGGGCACAGTGGCTCACGCCTGTAATCCCAGCACTTTGGGAGGCTGAGGTGAGTGGATCACTTGAGGTCAGGAGTTTGAGACCAGCCTGGCCAACATGGTGAAACCCCATCCCACTAAAAATATAAAAATTAGCTGGGTGTGGTGGCGCATGACTGTAATCCCAGCTACTCGGGAGGCTGAGGCAGGAGACAGACTTGAACCCGGGAGGTGGAGGTTGCAGTGAGCCAAGATCACACCACTGCACTCCAGCCTGGGCGACAGAGTGAGACTATGTCGCAAAAAAAAAAAAACTTGATTTCAAGTTATTTAAAGGAAAGAGGCAAAAAAGTCAACAGTGTAGGTAAACCTTTCTCATGCAGATGGGATTTCTGAAATTAAAATGAAGTGTTCTGCTTTTACACTTTTCTTTTCTTTTGTTTTTTGAGATGTTGTCTTGCTGTGTCACCCAGGCTGGAGTGCAGCCACGTGATCTTTGTTCACTGCAACCTCTGCCTCCTGGGTTCAAGTGATTCTCCTGCCTCAGCCTCCCGAGTAGCTGGGATTACAGGCACCCGCCACCACGCCCAGCTAATTTTTATAGTTTTAGTAGAGACGGACTTTCATCATGTTGGCCAGGCTGGTCTTGAACTCCTGACCTCAAGTGATCCACCCACCTCGGCCTCCCAAAGTGCTGGGATTACAGGCGTGAGCCACCGTGCCTGGCCAACTTTGCACTTATTTTTAAATGCACATAAACCAACTAACTAGATGTTGTTTTAAGGTCCACATGGTATTCACCAAGTTAACAGACCCACCCCTGGGCGGGCAGCCTCTGTCCACTGATGGTGAAGTTGAGTTGCTTCTAGGTGTTTTGCAATGAATAATGGACAACTCTGTGGAAATAACTTTTTTTTAATTTTGGTATTTGAAGTTGTTGGTTTTTCCCCCTTCTCCTTGGAGTTTATTCTGCATCCAGAATGAATACTCCGGGCCAAGGACAAGAACATTTTTGCAGCTCAGCTCATGTTATGTGTGGGGTCAGCGCACTCATGAGAATTACGGGACTAATTTACTGATTTCCAGGGCCATGGTGGCAGAGTGGGCTGGGCGGGGGACTTGAGATCTCTGGGATTTCTCAGGAAGGGGACAGAGACCGTCTAGCGTAGTGGTTAGGAGCTTGGCTTTTAGAAGGCTGACTAGCCTGGGTTCGTATGCAGTAGCTGCCTGACCATGAACTTCCACCACATAACTTCATTGTGCCTCGGTTAGTTCACATGTAAAATCGAGGTTATAAAACTTGTTAGGGGCCAGGCATGGTGGCTCATGTCTGTAAGCCTAGCACTTTGGGAGGCTGAGGTGGGTGGATTGCTTGAGCCTAGGATTTCGAGACCAGCCTGGAAAACATCGTGAAACCCTGTGTCTACAAAAACAAAAACAAACAAAAACAAAAACTTGTTAGGAATGTTGGAAGTCAGAGATGCTGTTTGTGAAGCATCTAGCATAAGACCTGGTGCTTAACAAGCACCCCTGGAGGCCCCCTCTTTCCCAAGCCTGGGGCTTTAACAAGCCAGGCAAAATTGAGAAGGTCAAGGACATCTTCTTGGCCTAGATCCTATTCTTACCCAGCTTCACGGTAACTAGAGTGAAAGGGTTCATTGCCTGTTCGAGGATATTTTGACTAGGCCTCTGTCTGTCCCAAAGCTGACACGTGGAGCATCAAGCTCAGGCCTCCCTCGGGGGGACCCCCAAGCTTTCATCCACCTCTGTTGTCACATCTGGATGCCGCCATTCTTATCTCTCAGCCACCCTCCTCAACATGCAGGTTTAAGGGATCCCTGGACAGACTGGAGAGTTCCCGGAACGTCTGCAGGTGCACCTGCCCAGCCCCAGCCTGCTGTCACTGGGGTAGGTTACGCACATGGTTCAGCAGAAGGAGCACAGGCTCTGGAGCTGGTCGGACTGGATTCCGGCCCCGGCAGCACCACTTCCCACCTGTGGGCAGTCACTGGACCTCTCTGACCCCCCCGTTTCCTCATTTGCGAATGGATGTGTTAATATCTTTGGCCTAGAATTACATGAGATCACACAGATAAAGCAGTAGCCCCAAGGAGCCCTTACCGTGAAACTCAAGGCTGCACTCCAGAGCCTTTGGGAAGGTACTGGAATTAGCCATAAAGGACAGGCAGAAAATCCATGTGTTCATTTTCTCAGACAACAAACATTGATTGGGTTGGCCGGCCCTGGTGCTGGGAACCAGGGAGAGACGTGCACAAGATGCCTGTCTGCTATTGACGTAGGCTGCAGGGAGAGGGGGAGTGGGAGATGAGTTGAGGGGAGGCGGTGGGGATAAGATTTTGAAGAGTTTGAAGATCAAGTGAGAATTTGGATTTGATCTCAATGATAAGGAGTTTTTTTTTTTTTTGGTTTTTTGTTTTGTTTTGAGACGGAGTCTTGCTCTGTCGCCCAGGCTGGAGTGCAGTGGCGCCATCTCGGGTCACTGCAAGCTCCGCCTCCCGGGTTCACGCCATTCTCCTGCCTCAGCCTCCTGAGTATCTGGGACTACAGGCGCCCGCCACCACGCCTGGCTAATTTTTTGTATTTTTAGTAGAGACGGGGTTTCACTGTGGTCTCGATCTCCTGACCTTGTGATCCACCCGCCTCAACCTCCCAAAGTGCTGGGATTACAGGCGTGAGCCACCGCGCCCAGCTGTTTTTTTTTTTTTTTTGACAGAGTCTTGCTCTGTTGCCCAGGCTGAAGTACAGTGTCCCGATCTCAGCTCACTGCAATCTCTGCCTCCTGGGTTCAAGTGATTCTCCTGCCTCAGCCTCCTGAGTAGCTGGGACTACAGGCACGCGCCACCACGCCTGGCTAATTTTTGTGTTTTTAGTAGAGATGGGGGTTTCCATGTTACCCAGGCTGGTCTTGAACTCCTGACCTCAACTGATTCACCTGCCTCAGCCTCCCAAAGTGCTGGGATTACAGGCATGATCCACTGCGCCTCGCAATGATGAGGGGATTTAAGCAGGTTTTGAGACGCCTGTTCTGGCAGCTTCGAGGGACGAAGCTAGTGTTGGCAGCTGATGTCGTTGGTGGCCTGGTGTGCCTCCAGCCTTCCCCTGCATCTCAGGGGCCCTAATTGTACTCAAAATAAATAACTGCAAAGAGAGGGGTTCTCAGGACAGGCCTGGGTCAGGCAAGCCTGGCCTGGGAGTTGGGGCCCTGGTGCTGGGTTCTGGTCCCAGCCCCACCACCAGAGCATGTAGATCTTTCCTTCTTGCCTCAGAGGAGGACTCTGTTTCCCAGGCTGCAGTGCAGTGGCGTGATCTCGGCTCACTGCAGTGCAGTGGTGTGATCTCAGATCTCTGCCTCCTGGGTTCAACGATTCTCATGCCTCAGCCTCCTGAGTAGCTGGGATTACAGGTGCGTGCCACCATGCCTGGCTAATTTTTGTATCTTTAGTAGAGATGGGGTTTCACCATGTTGGCCAGGCTGATCTCGAACTCCTGACCTCAAGTGATCCACACACCTCAACCTCCCAAAGTGCTGGGATTACCGGCGCCTGGTCTAGGGCAATTAGGCTTCTTTTTTTTTTTTAATTCTTCAGCTAAAAGAGGAAGAGGTGATTTATTATATGGTTGTTACGCTCGGCCACAAATAAACACAGAAATAGTCCAGAATGTCACAAGTCCAGGGCAGAGGACCAACATGGGCAGTTTTGTTTATGAGCAAGGTGGGTCTCAGAGGTGATCGGCGATCAGAGGGCGATGAAGTTCTAGATCCATTGAGACAAGCTCCAGACAGTAGCATGCAGTCCCACAGCTTGTACCAGCATCCCCAGCGCGTGGCGTTCCATGTTGCTGCTCCTGTGGCCTCCACGGTGCAACAAGCTAGCAGCTTACTTGTACCTCTGCCTCATCTTTCTTCTTTTGTGCCTCAGCCTGCGCATTCACTTCTTCCTCCACTTGGCTCTCATGGCGCAGAGGTTTCCAAGAAAATGGCGCTAAGGCCGACAGCGCAATTAGGCTTCTTATAGCTCTTTCCTTCTAGGGGTTCTGTACAATGTTTCTGGAGGCCACGGCTCCCCTTCCCCTGCCCCCAAGGCAATACTGTCCTGTGGCCTTCCCTGACCCGGCCGTAGGAGGGAGACACATCTTGTCCCAGGTGGGCAGTGTGGCGCTTTGACCTTGAGAGAGACTCCATGGAAGTCTGAGAACTGTGGTTTCCAGATGTGGGACAATCCTGGGGCGGTTCTGGGCTCCAGCTGTCATGCATGCTTGCGTATGAGGGCCACGTCTCATAAGTAAAGGGCAGTGTCCTCTGGGACCTGGGCTGCAACTGGCCTGGGAACCTGCTTCCTGAGCTTCCCAGGGGCTGCCTGGAGAGCTCCGTCCGTGCATCCCAGCACGCCTGGAAAACAGCCAGGCTTTCCCCCTTGGGGTCCTCTCCACGTCGGGGGATGTGGATGGGTTGAGACTTGCCTATAGCTAGAAAGGTTCAGGCCAAAATGACGAATTGGAAAGGCCAAAGAGATGTGGACTTCCCAGCAGCCCCTGGGAAAAGTCAGCGCT